AAGTCAAAAAAGTTTTGTTTTTAGATGTTTGTTTTTTTATTCCATGGCAAAAAAATCAAAAATTTCAGAACTCAAAGAAAAAAAAAGTCAGAATTGTGAGAAAGTAAGTCAGGATTCTGAGCCTATATATCATATTTATATCTGTTTCTAATCTACGGAGTGGTAAAAAGAAATCAACAATATGAAACAAGAATTTTTGAACCTGGCTTGATCTACTGTTCACATCAACTGGGGAAATTATGGTCATATCTATTATTATTTTAGTTTTTTGCCCTATTCAGCTGTACTGTCTTGCCTTTAAAATAAGCCAAATTTAGAGTTTTTAGTAATATGAAATAATAGACAGACCACTGTACACAATATTTCCCCTGAAATCTTCCCTCTCATAATGGTCTTTGGGAGAAGCCCCCCTCAACCCACTTTAATGAGGCAAATCTCTGATATTGGCTGACATTTTAAAATCCTCTTCCTGAACGGCAGTGCCAGCAGTCATCTTTACAAGAGATTTCTGCTGAAGGTTTTTGTAATGATGGAGGGAATTATAACGGCCTTGGTGTCAGTGTGAATAGGAGCCGGTGGCTTAAGAGTAAAACCTCACCTCACAGATGAGCTCGGGTATCCCAAGATGCTTTGGGTCTTGAAGCCCGTTCATTTTACAGGCAGGTTTAGACCAGATGCCCTCCGCTCTACTCTGAGATTTAGGGTGATTAAAGAGGGAGGGATCATGTCATGTATTTGTCATGGTCAACAAAGAGAAAAGCAATAAAGAGCGAGTCTCCATTTTACTCAAACTTTCAACGGGACCTGACTGCGTCACTGTCATTATATAAAAACTTTCAGTTGTGCTTTGTTACCCTTTGTTATACTTTTTTTTTTAAAGCAAGTAAAAGGCCTTTTAGTGTAATTCTAAAAGCATTCACCCTTCAGGTTGTGGTTCACGTGTCTTTTTGCCGTCAAATCTTCATCCAACTTTTTTTTGCCATATAAATAAATACCTAGATTGCACATTGTTGCTCAGTTTGGGCCTCTGAATAAAAGTGAGTTATTTTTCGTCTTAGAGTATGAGCTCAATATTATCGTATGAATATTTAGTAGCTATAGTGAAATATATTGTCTAAATGATCAATAAAATGTCCCATTTAAAAAAAATTAATTATACTGTTTCACATGTCAGTTCTGAACAACAACATTTACAATAAACGTGAATGTAATATAGAGTAACTTTTTTTTTTTAGACGCAATACTGGCAGTTACTTTGTCTATTCCACCAGCGAAAAGTTTTAAACCACATTGTGTCCAGCAATGTGTTTAGTGTTTTGTTCCTGAATGAATCAGTTGAACGAGTCAGATAGCAGTGAATGATTCAATGACTCATTTACAGCTACTTGTCACCAACTACTGGCGCAACGATGTAACTTGCAGAAAATCTTTACCACTAATGCCGACTGACGGGCTGTTTCCGAAATCACATACTGGGTAGATATTTATTTTGAATAAGTACTTGCCTCATGATCGTTAAAAAGTATTTTCTATATAGTATGAATCAGCAGCTCTGCTATGAATGTGTGTAGCATGAATATAATCTATACTACATTTGTCATGTGACCTACCTGCATCAGTTGCGTCGCTTCACTGGCATTCACAAATCCTTTCCGATGGCCTCATGGATTAAAGCATGGAAGCTCGTTTCCACCGCTGAATAAAAAGTGTAATTTGAAATTTTTCTCGCAAATGCACTTTTGCGTATTGCGGTTCTGTTTTTGTTTTTTTTATAACTCAAAATTGCTTTTTGAGGAAACACAGAATTGTTTTTTTTTTTATCACGCAGAATTGTGTGATATAAACTCATAAAACTGCGTGTTATGAAGTCAAAATCGCAAGATATAAACTCGCATTTGTAAGAAAATGGTCTTCTTTCTCCTCAGAATCAGACTTTATAACTCGCAATAACGATATATAAACACGATTATGAGGAAAAAAAGTCAGCAGTTACGAGAAAAAGTCAGAATTGTAAGTTTACTGTATTTCTTGCAATTTTGAGTTTACATCAGCAATTCCAAGAAGTCAGAATTGTAAGTTTACAGTATTTCTCGCAATTTTGAGTTTACATCAGCAATTCCAAGAAGTCAGAATTGTAAGTTTACAGTATTTCTCGCAATTTTGAGTTTACATCAGCAATTCCAAGAAGTCAGAATTGTAAGTTTACAGTATTTCTCGCAATTTTAAGTTTACATCAGCAATTCCAAGAAAAAAGTCAGAATTGTAAGTTTACTGTATTTCTCGCAATTTTGAGTTTACATCAGCAATTCCAAGAAAAAAGTCAGAATTGTAAGTTTACAGTTTTTCTCGCAATTTTGAGTTTACATCAGCAATTCCAAGAAAGAAGTCAGAATTGTGAGATGTAAACTCGCTATTGAGAGAAAACGCTGCAATTACCTTTTTTATTTTATTTTATTCAGTGGTGGAAACAAGCTTCCATATTAAAGTGTCCATGCGATGCATACTTCAGTATCTCAGCAGAAGTAGCAGATCATGCTACTTTTCACCAACTGCTTTATAAATACATTTGGACATACTACACCTTTCCTTTAATAAAATAGGGAAGTATACAGATTTGGATGCTTCCATAATCTGTCTGAACAAACACACTGGGGGAAAAAAATGGTGTAGGATTTACACTGAAACAATTTTCACTCAGAAAGTAAATTTGCTAGTAAATTTCACAAATAATTACAAATTAATGACAAGTAACACATTGAATTAAAGTGAAAGTAGAAAGATTGACAGTTTTTTATTTATTTATTATTATACATTTTTTTTTACAGTGTACATACAAGTGGAGTGATACAAACATCTCAGTGCTGTTGGTAAGTCAAATCCGATTTATATAGACAGATGACTTGTCTATAATGCTGCATGAATAAAGTTGCTTTATTGCCTTTCTTTGAACACAACCCGTAGATGAGCTTGAAAATAAGATGTGCGAAGATCAACAGCACTACACAAATGCATATGACCCACTTATTATTTACGCTACTGTTCATTGCCGTTCACAGTCCTTCCTCATTATTTGCGACATAATCACAACCTTGTTTTGAATGTGATTATGGGCCTCATTGTGTTTGAGAAGTCTGTTTCACTAGAATTGGCCTTAAACAGTGCTCTGGGAAAATCGGAGTATTAATAACAATTATTGGCGTTCTTTAGTTTCTACAGGCACCTTAAGTGTTGGGTATTGACTGTTGTCTATTGATTTCACAGCTTGTCACTTGGGGTTCAACTCCCATTGACTCAGAACACTTCAAACAAGCCCTCATTCACCGACACACATGCATATGTGCAGGAGGATATTATTCTAAATAGCATTGTTGATCTGAAATAAAAAAATTAAAGCATGCACTTGACATGTAAGGAAAACTGATAGTTTGCTGCTGTTTTCTAGTCATCTACTGAAATGGTTTCATTTAATCCTTACTAGTTAAAAAAGCTGACAAATACAAACATGTATCAGTTTTATTGACTGATTTGTGTTTATAGGAAATGCACGATGACAGTGAATAAGGCACAGCATTATTTAATATTTTAAAAGTGCTATTAATTTTGCTGGCTGACTGATATGACATGTCACTTTTCATTGCCTTCAACGGAAAATCCATTAAAATGTTATATATTAGGCTATGAGGCATTATTATATGATTGATTCATGTACAAATACAAACATTACGTTTAACTTTTCCAAATCGCAAACTATGACAGAAGCAGCATTGAAACTTTACCAGCCATTAGAATTCACACTCTCATTCATCTCTGTAAACTAGAATTGTAACTAGGAGGAAAATTCACAGTAGAATGTTCATTAAATATGAAGTATTGTATGTCAGCAAATTTAATTTGAAAGACAAAAATAAATCAGCAGCTGATGTCAGCATATACATGAACATGAGGGGTATCAGATACTTAGTGCAGAGCTATTCAGAAATGAATCAGGTTTCATCAACAGATGAGATCTTATCATTTCTAAGGCGAGTATCTGGATAAACAGTCCAGTTTAGACATGAATTCTCATGCTGGTCCAGGTTTGTTTATGCTCTTTGTTGCTCAAGTGCCGGTGAAGCTGGTTGACCAAGAAAGTCTTGATGGCTGAGGCAGGAAAAACGGCTTAACGCAGTATTTTTTGGCTGGTCAGGCTGGAAGAGACCAGTTGAAGACCAGCTTGGTCAGGCTGAGCTTAGACCAGCAAACCATCTTAGATTGGTTTAAGTTGTATCAGCAAGTGACCCAACTGACCTTACGACAGCAATAACCTAACCGCTGCTGCTGCTGCTTTTCAAGGGTGGGTGTACTTTATATCCGTCAAACAAAATGACATTGTGAGTCAGTGATGTACATGAAAATTATGTACTTGGATGACTTTGGAATAAATTGCCTCAAATCATTGTGCAGAAAAACAGAAAGCACAGGCTTTTGTATCAGGTTATTATGCTGAAATACTAAATATAATGGTAGAAGATGAAAAAAATAGTGAAATTACCAGGGAAAATCTAGCCAGGTGTGAAGAAGTCAGACAGTTGATGTCATAAATATTGACATTAATAAGCAGGAAAATTATGTAATGGACGCTTTCTGCAGATGCAAACAGGACAAATGCATTTTGTGTGTGTTTTTCTCAAAATGTCAATGTTCTAAAGAATGACAAGTGCTATTTATCACTTGTATTATGTTAAAATTCTGGATATAATTATGTTCTGAGTCAACTGATCCTAAATTAATTCAATACAATTAACCCAAAATCACACGCTGAGAAAAAATCAGGTAAAAACAGTAAACCTTTAACATTAATACTTTTCACACATTACAAAAAAGTAAACACGAGAACATGATTTTTAAAACTAACTTTTTAATGAACTCAAAACGTATTTTTAAAACCTCTGTTTTTCACAAAATGTGAATATTATAAACAGTGTTTTAAATATTTGTTCAACATTTTTATGTGTGCTTTTCTGAAGCTCAGACAGTAGAGCATGGCATTAACAACAGAAAGATCAAAATTCACATGCATGAACTACTTGGGGTCTGTGCACCTGCCTTTAACCTTGAAAAATCTGTATTCTACTATTCCTTACCTTTGAGCAAACATAGACGATCATTCAGAAGCTTAGTTGTTCATGCAATCTACAATTCAGTCAGTTTGACAGACAAAAGTCAGAGAATTGATTTGATTGGCTATTTGGGCCGTCAGTCATTTATCTGTCGTAAGGTCAATTATCAGCCATCATTTGATAATCATGTTTTTGTAGAACTCATTGTGTCAGTGATTAAGAAGGGATCCAAGAGACAGTTGGTTTGCTGAAAACCGTTCTATAGCCATTGACGTCGATCCGGACACAGGCACTGACTGGCACAGACTTGCGCTGCAGGTGGTCAGGAAGTGCTTTCTTCTTCCTCTTTCTTCACTGTAAGAACAAACATGCAGTTTTATTTACAGCCACCTCATAAACAAGCTTCAATGGGCTCCTCCAATTAACTAAACAACAGACATATCCATCATAATTACACTCTCGCACATGACATTGGCAGATAAATATTCTATTCCAGCTGCATCTCTCTCTCTCTTTCTTGGCTGGCTTTGGCTTCTTCCTACCTCTGCTTTTGATTTCTGAGCGCACTGAAGGTCTGAACACTGTTGCGTGGAAGATGAAAGGTCAAAGGCTACTGACGAATTCTATGGCACGTTCCCCAGATATAATGAGCACTCTCATTCTTGAACAGTTCATCAAGGTTTTTAGTCGAGCCTTATGCTCTTCGGTGGAAAACAAATCCGGCTTATTAGCCAAATATGTATCTCTTTTTTTGCACCGTCTCTGTGGCTGCATGCAAATTTCATCCTTTATTTAAGGAGAAAATCACCGTTCCTCGTATTCCCCGAACTCTTCACTGTCTGCGTCAGACAGCTTAGCATATACAATGGGCTCATCGGCGACTTCAGCGGCATGGCTAATGCAAGACCTTTTGCGCTGCGTAATTCCGGAAGGATAAACAGGCTCGTGCATGCAAAATTATTCAAACACAGATAATTAACCGGGGAAACAATCAGCTGTATGAATAATAATCCACAGTGGTAGATATTATAACTTTAGAGCATGAGAAGAAGATGGATGTGGGTACCTTGGGCATGAGCTTATCAAATAAGGCTCGGTAAATGTACCCTGAATTAAATGAGTCAATCATTTTAATGTGCAAGAGAAGCCCTGAGGAGAACAAATAAGCAATCACTACATCACGCAGGGCGAGCAAATGAACCTGCTGCACAATTAGGCAGGGTCACATTCGGCGAGGACTGCAAGCACTCCATGTGCTAATGAGCTCTGTGCGTGTCAGGGAAAGAGGGATGGAGGGAGAGAGAGATATAGTTGCCGCCTGAATAAAGAGCCTACAACCACAGCACTTATGGTGGAATAGATAGCGCTTCATTAAGGACACTTTCACACCACAGCTTTTGGTGCCATTTGACGTCAGCGTTCGGTTCATTTTGTTAAAAACGCCATTCAAGTTCTTTTCAAAAGGTGGTCTGGGGTGTACATTATTTGTACTCAGGTACAGTTCACACACAGTTGATAGGAACACAATCAAGTCACGGAAGTGAGGTACTAATGCAAGTGCCGTTTCATGTGTTTAAAGATTTGGAACTGAATTCACTGACAAAAACATGAATAAAAATGGAAGAAAAGTTACGTCTGATGACGCCAACAAACTGGGGTTTGGAATCAAAATAGCTATGTGAAAAGAGACTAGTGGGGGCAGAGGGAATGTCAGATTTGGACCAAGATACTGAACAAAAGTTTGGTCTAAAGTGTATGATTTTGGCAGCATTTGTGATAAACTTCGAGAATTGTAAAAGATTTCTTTCATTGTGAGGCAGTCTTTGATCACTTACGCCCAAAGTATTCTTTATTTTGACATGAATGCTCATCGTGTACGTATAGCCAAACACACAGCCTTTCAGCATGCGCCAACAGTCAGATAACATAACTAAAAAGCCTACAACCACAGAGTTGTGTGTATCTCTAAGCCCCCTCACATTGATAGCGCTTCATTAAGGACACTTTCACACCACGGCTTTTTGTGCCATTTGACATCAAAGTTCAGTTCATTTGGAGTTCTCATCAAAAGGTGGTCTGGGGTAGGGCTGCACGATAAATCGAAATGGAATGGAGATCGCGATTCGACAGAAGCTGCGATTGTCATGCGTATCTTTCAGTGAAGCACGGTTCTGTGATCAGCAGTAAATCTCCATCCAAAGGCCAGAGGGCGCTCTCACGCTGAAACTCCAAATACACCTCGCAGAAGAAACCCAAAAAATGCCTATAGCTGCAGCTGAATAAACAGAAGATTCAACTACTTTCATTGATTCAACGTGACAATTAAACACACGACTACGGCAATATACAGTTTATCAGAGTTCTTATTAAAATAATGCGATTTTTTTGCGCAACTTGTCAGTGAACTACGGCTCTGTGTAGTAAATTCTGCGCCATCTGAAAGCACGTGATGATGATTTCCTGCTGATTACAGAACCGGCTTTTTTAACAAAATGCACATGACAATCGCATTTGATTCATCATGCAGCCCTAGTCTGGGGTGCAAATTATTTGAACTCAGGTACGGTTCACATTGGGTAGGAACCCATACGCAAATGTAATATACAGTATGCACACATATTAAATTCCAGTATATAAAATATATTGTCATATGAAATAAAAATATATATGAAACATATTAGAAATTTTAACAATATATATATATATATATATATATATATATATATAT